ATCCTATTTACTGCAGCAAATCTCTCCTTAGTTGATGAGATTGTGTTTATCTCCCTTTAAAACCCTACCTATCCTGAATGTCATTGTCTGCCTTTAAAATCCTTCCTTTTTCTCTTCCTCTATTCTCTAAATAATGATGGGGCTAAGTTATACCCAAAGCTCACTTTACAAAATATTTCCTCAGTACTTTGCAGAAACCACCAAACAAAAATGCCATTTTAAAAGAGGTGTATTTTTTCTTTTAGAATGTAAGCTCCTCAAGAGCAGGGACAATGTTTTCTGTATGTTCTATTGTGCCTAGTACACTGTAAATGCTCAATAAATATTGATGATGGGAGGCAGTGAGTCTTGATGATAAGGGTGAGAAACTGAAATCCCAAACACTGTTTTGTTGCTTGTTTTATTATGACCTCAGATTAAATTGGGAAATATTGGCCCTTTTGGATAATTGTCCCAAATATTACATTCAAATAAAAGTGCAATGGAGACCTTGGGGTCTTTATTTCCAGGAGAAAAGATACTTTCTACATCTAGGACAACAATCCTCTTCCCCTCTTCCCTGACAGCTCTTCTACTTCACTTACTGATTTCTCCTGACCCCCAAGCCAAGGAGGTAAAATAGTCTCTCATATATATATATATACTTAATCATATTTTATAGCTAAGGGAAATTAGACTGAAGAGATGCGATCTCATTCAAGTAAATAAAACCTTTAACTCTGCACATTTGCATATTTAATGTACATCAGTCATCTAAAAGAGGTTGATTCTTGACTAATGAGAACACTACTATTAACTATTTAATATTTTCTACATAGTATTCCCAATAGATGAAGGCAAATTTCCAACCTGAGATTTTTTAGCCTTGGAATTTGAATAATAAATGTTTTTCCAGTTAATAGCTGTTACTTCATGCTCTAAAAGTCAGAATAGGGGGTGAGGGGAGTAAGAATATATGTCCAGTGACTTAATTTTAGGGGCTCAATTTGTTTTTCCTGCAAAATAGTCACCGGTCTTGTCATGGCTTGATGAATATTTTAAAATGAGTCAAGGCCAGTTTGGAAGCTGCTATCTTAGATTATTTGTAGTCAGACTTTAAATGGAGAGTGAAACTTTGAAAACTACCTGGTGCTGTATGCTCAGTGATGGTCTTACACATTCCTCTAGGGAAAGATCAAGAAATTTGGCAAAATTGTATTCTGTCATTTACATTATAGGAAATAATATGAAATATGTGCAGTATTAAAGTGGTGGCTGAGACTGGGCACTTGGAAAATAGACTTGGATTCTTTTTAAAATGTGAAACTACATTAATTTTATGTGACATGTAGCACAATATCCTTGATTGATT